CCCCAAAACCCCAAAACCCCAAAACCCCAAAACCCCGGTTTATATCATAAAAATTGAAAGAAAAGATGAACTCTTCCGAAAGTCTGCAGATGATAGAAGAAACTTATATGAAATTGTTGCAGAAAAATTATGAAGATTTCTCCCTTAAGAGAACAGATATTAGAGAGCTTTTTCTTAAGTAAGCTTAAGCTGTTGCTTGGGTTAGAAGATGTCGTAGTAATGTTCTGATGGGATGTAGAGCTGTTTTGAAGATTCAGAGGACTTGGAGGCAGATTGTTGAGAAAAGAGGTAAGGGATTTATTTAGTTTTAGATACCAGAGATAGAATGGTTGAGGAGATGAAGAAGAAGTAAAGTCTAGGGTTTTCAGAGTGCTTGATTTTGATGAGTTTAAGTTGAATTTGAGAAGTTTGATTGTGAATGTTAGATTTGAGATTTTTGAAATTTGAATAAGTTATAGTTGAGAATAATGCTATTTTCCTTTTGTTCAAATTTGCAAAAACAAATCTTCATAATTCTACAAAACTCAAATAATTTCCAAAGCAGAGAATCAAACCTTTTCATTCTCAAAAAATCAATTTTAGGTACAAAATCGATAGCATTCTCAGAATCCAAAGATTTGTTAAGAAATGGTTAGGCTTCAGAAAATCTCAAGAGGCGAAATTACAAATGAGAGTTTGAAAAAGTATGGATCTTAATAGAATAAACAGAAATGCAGAGACATTTGTTATTCAGGAGAAGATTAACAGTGAACGAATGGGAGAGGGACTGAAGCGATACCGCTTACAAGTGAGCCTTTATCCTAAAAATAGGTGATTCAAGAGTTTGAGCAGGATGCAGAGAAGTTCGCTAAAGGTATGTTTATTTATAAATTCTACAGATTTAAAGAAATACGAAATGAGAAGAACCGAATTCAATGATTGGTCTTGCCAAAAGACCTCCTTTGGCAAGAAATATTGGCTAAACTTATCAACTCTTGAAGAAAAACAAGAAAACCCTGGGGAAGAATATTATAGGCAAAATCTTTCAAAATTGCTAAAATAAGGCAAGGAATAATTTCCAGAATAATGTGTTAACATCTATTGAAGAGAAGATAGAGAACTGATACCTCCACGAGAGGTCAACGAGGTTTCGAATTCTTCGTGAATGAAAGGCCAATAGGATTAAGCACATCCTCAGTGAGTCAATAAAAGCTCTTAATTTGGCAGCTGGAGCTAACCAGTAATCTATTTTTCAACTTTTTGTTGTAAAATAGGGGTTTTGGGGTTTTGGGGTTTTGGGGG